AAAGGCAATTTGCAAATCCCAGATGTGTGGAGCTGCCTTAAGCATCCAAGTTGAGAAAAAGCCTCAACAAACATTTAATGCTTCATAATGATAAACTTTCCATTGCTTTAATAAGTTGTGTTATCATTATGTCGTTGGAAGAAAGAAATCAATACAACAGCTTTTAAATAGAATATATAACTTAATAATTTGTATTAATATTTTATTTAAAAATTATCAGTTAACAGCTTTATCACAAGGTTCATTTTTTTAAATATTTCCAAACTTGAATATTTATTGAGTCATTCCTATTTCAAGATGTTTTTGTTTTATAAAGCAAAATCAGCTTTAACACACTGTTGAATTCTTGAATATTTGGTTATTTTGCTAAATATTCAAAAATTTGACAAAGTTTTATTATCCAATTAATAACATAAAATATTAAGGTTGTTGATTACTAGTATTTAGGTTCAACTTAAATGAAACTTTGTATTCCAAGAACACTAGATTTCTACATAGAAAAAATTAAATATATCTATATATTGTCTGAGAACAACAATTGTAAAAAGTAAAGAATGCAATAATTTCAAGTAACAGAAGCTACTTAATAACAGTTTCTTTCATTTTATTTATATTTATATGCAATAAATTCAAAAAGATCTCTTCAGCTGACTGACAGGACTCAGAACAATCAGGACTGACAGGAGGGAGAAGTTATGGCACTATCCCAAACTGAAGTGTGTATAATAAAATTATTATTAGAAACTCTAGAAAATAAATGTATATTTTCTAGAGTTTCTAATTATGCTCTAGAAATGTATGATTTCTAGTGCATAAGAAAAGAAAACAAAATGTGATTAACCAAGAACATATCAGAAGATATAGAAAAACCTGGTAGGTATTAGTTCAAGTACATGGAATTACTTTTCACAGCCTTTCACACAAATTGATTGTTTCATATGATATGCAAACAAAATAAAAATTCTATCCAAGATCAAAAGAAATCTGAAATGTTTCAGCCATGTATATAAAGCACTTTTAGAACACTTCAATAATCATATATATGTTACTGCTAAAGCTCGAAATCCGTTAATGTGTACATTACCTAGCTAATCTGCAGATTAACTAGGGTGATCCGTTAAAGCTGCGAAAATTGTTCAATTTCTCAAATTACCTAGGTAATTTGCAGAGTATCTAGGTAATCTGCACATTAACGGCTTCCGTATCGTTAAAGTTCAAAAGTTTGTTTCTTTCACTTCCTTTCCCCACTCCTTCTTTTTACGTAGATAAATTTAAATCCTAGAATGCAAGCAAGCACCGAATTGGTGAGTAAAATCAAGAAAAGATTCTTCGCAAACCTCTTTAGCGAAGATTTAAAATATAATACGTAGTGTTTTAATAACAAACCAAAGTATGATTCCATAATTGAAGATGTAAAGCAAATAAAAGTTTCCAAGAAGAAAGAATCATCTCGAGATTATCAAATAATTCAAAGGTGTGATGTGTTGACTGTACGAGGCTGTGAAAAACTCATTGAGCCGTTGTCAGATGCGCGAGAAAGGTTTGAAAAAGTTTGTCCATGCCGGAGAATTGTTTGACATTCGATAAAAACTGAAGAAGACCTTGAAAAATTAGAAGATTCACAAGAGACTGTGATTATGAGATCACAGTCAAATCTTACTCAAGAGGACATTCCGTTATCCCCCGCTTCTACAGAATCACCTATAGAAATACAAGAATTTACCGATAGTAATCTTAAACTGCCTTCTATACCGTTGATTGATGATGCAGTCACGAAGAATATTCAGTTACCCTGCACCTCCAAGGAATCGCCTCTGCAAGTTGAAGAAGTCATCACTGAGTTACTCTCAACTTCAGCAGAATCGCCATCACAGTTTCGTACGGAGCCTGTAAAGAGCACTATACAAGACATAGTCTGTATTGTTTGCTCAAAAGCAGCATCAAGTGCTCACAAGTGTAAATCGTGTAATATGTTTGTTCACGCAGTTTGTGGTGAAGTAGATCCTAAAGAGGAAGGGTATGGTAAGAATGTATTGTGCATCATCTGTAAAAAGAATATGGATCAGAAAATACAGCGTGATGAAGCCAAGAAATGTTTAGAAAAGCAAGCAAAGAAAATGTTAGCAGTTTCTAATGCAAAGCACCCAAACGTCGATGAAGGTTTCGCTGTGAGAATTAAAGTACCCGAAGAAGACAGAGCAAAAACTGATGCACGTTCAATTTTAGCTGTGGTTCTTAGTAAAACAGAGGATGGCTTTTATAAACTTGATACTAAAACAGGTATTTTAAAACAATTGTATGCAAAATCTGAATTCAGTGTTTGCAAAGAGAGATTTTTAACGAAAGAAGATGGATGTCCCTGCTGTAGAAATATCTTTACGTCAAACAGCAATAAAACAATCCCTTGGTACTGGGCAGGGTTTCAGAAAATGTGACTGCAAATCTAAATGTACCACAAATAGGCGTGCTTGTCGCAAAAACCAATTGCTACGTAATTCAAAGTGTCACCAATCTTTAGATTGCACTAATAAGTAAGTACAATTTTATCATATGTTTTGCAAATTCATTTCCCTAATTGTAGTAATATTTTAAACCGTTTGATTTTTGTATTAAAGTTTTTTTAATTGATTGATGATTGATTCAATCAACTAATTTGTTGATTGTATTAACTTGATTCTTTAGATATTGAAAATTAAATAAATAACATTATGTTAATTTAAGCGTACAGAAAGAAACGTTGCTGTTGTTCCAGCAAAGATCTTATTTTCACTTTACCGAGTGCCTAGTAGGTAATTAGCAGATTACCTAGATAATTTGAGAAATGGAATAATTTTCGCAGCTTTAACGGATCACCCTAGTTAATCTGCAGATTACCTAGGTAATTTGAGAAATGGAATAATTTTCGCAGCTTTAACGGATCACCCTAGTTAATCTGCAGATTAGCTAGGTAATGTACACATTAACGAATTTCGAGCTTTAGCGGTAACATATATAAAATTTAGAACACTTCAATAATCATATATATAAAATTTCATATTTGTCAGTTTGAACAAATTGCTGCATGGTAAAGTATCATTCTTCTGCAATACTGATCAAGTTATTAAAGCAAGACATTAAAACATTACAGGCTATATCACAGATCTAAATTATGCATAAGCAAAATTTAGATCTGTGATAGAATCAAATACATGCAGATTGATCTGTAATAGAATCAAAACCTGTCAAAGCTGGTTCTGACTACATATGAGAAATTTCCATAGCATTGATCCAGAATAAAATTCTGTCAAAAAAATAGCAAGAAAATGTCATTGTTGATTCATATAGTACTCTGTCTTTTTCTTTAAATCAAGATGAAAATTTTTTTAACCCTAATACTTTTGAACCAATGTTCTAATATAGTTAGAATCTATGTCTCGCTTATAGTATCAATAGTTTGAATCTGTGTTGCACTTCTGTTGCAATGATGCTGGTATCCGAGAATTATTGGAAGTTCAAAAGAACTAAAGAACTAGTTTAAGTGGAATTTCTTGTCTTGCTCTTCAAAAATGCAGAAAACTACTTGTTTAAGGAAATCACACAAATAAAGTTGGTTACCTTTGTTTATTTAACTATTTAGCAAATCTTTCATAAGAGTGTAAATGTAATCCAAATTCATAACTTATTGTAAACAGAATAGTATTCTTAAATTTAAGAATTGGAAATAGCAAACTGTAGCCTGTATATTGAGAATGACATATAGAATAAACTCATTCAGTGAATGAGTTTATTCTATATGAGTTCATTCAGTGAATGAACTCATTGAACAAATTTATATCAAGAACACTTTCAAAACATTTGTTTTATAATACATATAACTAGAGACTTAAGCATCTAATTATGATGTAATGCCTTATCTCTCATCCTTGTTAGCCAATGTGATTGCAGAGGGACCCACTCTTAACTGACCAGTCACTCAGTGGGCTAGGACTTACATTTAAAACCATATCAAACCAGCTACAACTGCATCTCTAAATGAGGCACTCAGGACTTCATTATCAGAGCCATAGACTATGCCCATAGGAATAAAAAAGTTAAAGGAACCAATGGTCTACATACAACCTTTTTAAGATAAAATTTTCCAAAATTGGCCTTAAACTGCTTGTTTAACACAGAATAGACTTAACAGAGAATGCAATGTCATTCCAATACTGCCCCAGAGATAGTTGGTGCAATGACATTTCTCATTTAAGAGCTTTTAGCCATCTCTTACCTACTAAAGTGGGAAAACGGTTGATTTTTAGCACTGTTTTGAAAAATAGTTTCAGATTTTTTTCACTTTTAAACTTTACCCCACTTTTCAGGGTCTCTGAAATTCTAGCAGACAGTCCAATGGTTCCTTTTGACTTTTTTACTCCTATGGCATTATGGTGCAACTACACAGACATGAGCGAGCAAGAATATGTGGCAGAAAGAAGTGACGTTTCACGCTCTTGTCTGTAGTCATAATAAACAAGAGCGAGAAACAGAGAGCGTGAAATGTCATCACCTCTTCTTGCCACATATTCTCACTGGTGCCTGCATAGTCACACCCTTAGTCTGCAGTCCAACACAGTACATCATTCGAAGCCGAATTGATGCCCGTTGAATACAAACATTTACTGATACATTTCTGAAGATGTAATTAGCAGTTTAAAATGGCTAAAAAAGAATTAATGACTTAAAATAATTTACAGAAACACAAAACATATATTTGATTCTTTACTTCTTTTCCTTTATGATTTATATAATAATAATAACTGTTGTATAAGGTAAATATATCAAATGATTGATTATCATCATCAATAGGAGCTCATAAATAAATTTTAATTTATGTTTCACTATTACATTCATTCATAAGGCAAATATGTGTCAAGTGCTTATTTATATGGTGATAAACAGTATTTCATATAACCATTTCTGTTTATTATCATTTTTCATAATCATAAATCAATTATAATAGACGTTTAATTGCGAAAACTTACTAATGAGTAGCAAAACAACTTCAAAACAACTCCACATTAACAGATAACAACAAACACTTAAGATCAGTGTTGCCAACTGAAGAGCGTGAATAATTTTTTTGAATGTAGGGAAATTTCCCTAAATTAGAAATAATATTTAATAAGGTTAATTACAGACAAAAGTTTTTTTTAATTTTTAAATATTTATTTTAAAAAGATGAAGACTTGATTAATAACTTTGATATACTTTTATATATATATATACACACCTACGGCCAGATGGCCGAGCAGGTGGTTAAGGTGACAGTCTACCGCTCTTCGGGTCCCGTAGTCGAATCCAGACAGGTCGAAAAATTCCCAGAAAGCTTTTGGGAGGTGGTCCGTTCGGATATGTCGGGCTCCGTCTCTCACCAACCGGCCGCCTCATTGCGGGCCTAGACGAATCCATAATGGGCTTGCTAAAAGAGAGGCCCTCTTAGTGCCCACAGGGCGAAAAGAGTTTATATGTATACAGTTGAACCTTCTATAAACTGTTGATTTTTCCGTGAGCCGTTCACAGCCCGGCACACGTATTTGTAAAATCCAAGGTACTCGTACAACATGGAATTCATATAAAACGGAAAAATCAACAATTTATAGGAAGGTCGACTGTATATATAAGTAAAATTTATGTATTACTGTATATATATATATATATATACAGTAATACATAAATTTTTAATATTCACTGACTACCAACAAAATTGCTAGAGAGTTGCTCGTCCGGATTTGATTCCGGATCTCCCAAAGATTGATGTCTTCATCTCGGTAATCCGCCCATTAGATTAATAATTAAAACTACCAGTGGTTTGCCGTGACATTTGACGATAGGGAAGCTGTGTTTCTGTAAAAAGCCGACATCCAGGGGCAATCAGTCAATTGCGCGTCAGTGATAGTCTAGGGTCCATTTGTATCGTTTATTCGATAAGCCAGTAAAAACCGTAGACTTCTCTAAGTACATTTTTAATATCACAATTACATTCCGAATCGCTAGCCACGATATAAGGGCTACAATTAAAAATAAAATAATAAAAACTTACTTGGTGAAATAAAATGTGTGGTTGATGTACCGATACATACCTGGTACAAAATATTCTTCAATTGTATGAATATACTTTTAATGAAAATTATAATTAAATATAGCTTTGTAAAGAAACGCACATAAAAATATAAAATATTCTTTACTTTTTAAATCTTAATCTCGAGAACGCAGTTAGAAAATGAAAGTCGAGACCAGATATGGAAAGATTAGGGGCAGGAGGTTCCGATTAACTACATATGAACTTCCTATGCAAGCCAGAAGTTACTTTATATAAATTCAAAACTTTCCTCTGAAAGGAGTTAAATAGATGACAGGCACGACTCTATTGATAACGGAAAACTATGATGTACAGGGGCGAGACACTACAGTACTAATTGTAAGGATGCCGATTGGGGGAGGAGATTTTATTCCCTTACCGTCGGGATGGTCTACAGTTTACGTGTATGTGGGTGGAGGTTTTGAGGAGGCTGCGAAAGAGAAGTTTTTCACAAAGAAACCGTTTATTTTTACTGGTATTTTTACTGGTAGGCTATACCTTGTTACAGAAAACTTTGATAATTCAAGAAACAGTGATTGTCCAATTGCATTTTTGATACTTTTTACATTGCGCCAGAAAGTTGGACTATCTGTTTGTATTCCTTCAGGATAAATTTATTTCCAATGTAGTAAAATACACTATTGGTTTTCTATTTCTTCAATTTGCGATTGATCAAAGGTAGAAAAGTAAACGGTCTGTTAGCTTGATTTAAACAAATAGTTGGATAAAAAATTTTTAAAGTTTTTGCAGTTACAATGTTTGGCGGGATATGTGCCGAAAGTTCTTTGCATGCCTTTTCCAAAAACTTGAAGTAACGAGTTTGTATAGTAAATGCTTTTTCTGCTGAAATATATTTAGATGCCAATTTATCACTTAACAAATTGGAAAACACATCAAAAGTGAACATTTTGAAACGAAATGTACTGGTTCTCAACATTTAAATTTGTTTCCAGGTTCACATACTGAGATTTCGAGATTTTTCTGTGCAAAATAATTTAAAATTGTTACGTTCTTCAAGGATAACACAAAGATATGCCTGTTTTTTTGGAAAAGTAAATTTAATCTTTCATAAATATCAAATACAGTTTATTAGTTCTGACTGAGCATTTAGCTGCTAGTTCTCCTGCGTAGTATTTATCACAAGTCGAAGAAGTTATCTGAAAATGCAATTGTAAAGCATCCCACTGGTTAAGAATTCGCTTTACACGGTTACTTCTTGCTAACCAACATGTGGTTGAAGGGGGAATCATTTACAAGGATTTCTCACTCTCATTAACTCCACACAGATTTGATGCACTGTCTGTTACAACACAAAAATCACTGCTTAATTAATGTCGATGCCCATATCATCAATCAACGAATAATTTAAAAGTTTCATGCAAAGCTTCAACTGCAGTACTGGTGACATTAATCAAACTTAGAAACTATGTTTTTAATTGTAATACCTAACACATAGCAAGTAGCAAAAAATAAAAATCAAGTAGCACGAGTTGTTCAAAAGTAGCAGAATTCTGTTACTTTTCGTCCAATCTGGCAACGCTGTTGAACTCATAACAGATTACGTTCGCCTGTCGAGCGGAATTTTTTTCATTTCGCATGCAGTTCGAAGTCCGAAGCGAATTTTTTGTCAAATTTACGTTCGAACTCTGAAGCATTCTAAGTTATAGTCCTCCGAATTACGAGATACCATTATATATCAAAATTGCGTTAAAAAGTCAAATTTAAGAAGAGCTTAAAATTAAATTAAAATAACGTAATATACCATATATAATCATCGTTATATATAAATTAAATTATCGTTAATATAAATTACCCTATCACACACTTTTAACAAAAAAGAAAAAATAGCAGATGGCGCTGATCTCCAAATGCTTTTCGGCCGTCTGCTGTGACAAGTGATAAACAACCGTAAATATATGGAATGTGGCTAAATAAAGGTTTATTTCTAGATGGAATTATGTTTGGAACAAAGCTTAATATCGTTAAAGTTAGCGTATTATCGAGGATTGCTGTTATTCTACTTCAAGTAAGTACTTCGAGTCGTTAATAACGTATTAATGTGATATAAATAGGCTAAATGACTGGGAATTGGATGAATGCGTCATTTCTCGACTGACAATCATGATTTAATTGTACACGTGGTACATTCACTTAATTATTCGTATACTGTACATATCACATTCTAGCTGTAATTTGGATCCATGATTTTTATTATAATGTAATTATCATAATATATATATATCATATCATGTTATATATAACATGATAAGTTGAAGGTGATGCGTTATAAAGCCATAACAAATACTGTTTTTCTTATTTTTGCACTGTACTTTGCATATAAAAGCATGAGATACATTGCAGTATGAATCAAATGGTACGTCAGTGAACTGCGATGTACTAAAATGTGTTCTGATATGCATCAATGGGTTCATTGGTGCAGTGGCCAATAAACATCCCACTCATCAGACTGTGGATGTGAAGTGTTCTGACAAAGCAACGTGACTACTTCTATTGTTATATCATTAATGCCATTTTTACTATTAATATGTATTAACCAAAGTTATTTTGACAGAGTAACTCTGCAGGTGTATCCTTGTTTGCTTCCTCTATCTTATTGCCAGATTTTTTGGTAAGTTAATTAAGTTGTTCACTGGCTGAGACTGATGCATACTGAATGTACCCATGTTCTTATATGCACCAGCTTGCTTTGGCTTATAAAAGCATTACACTGCTGTGTTGATGTAAATTAAATGTAAATATACTGATACAGTAACTATTTAGTGACATCTCTGTGATAACCATGTTTAAAACTGATCTCATACAAAGTAAAATGCTCACGTTTAAAACTGCTGTCTTGAAATAATCTTTGTTAATGAGGACATTATTTCCAGAACTTGTCTCAATTTTGCCAAGAAAACAAACTAAAGTTTCCCTCTCTAAATCTTCAGCATACAGAATCAATTTCTTTTCAAACAAAATAATTTCCTCTTTAAATAATAAATCTCATCATTATCATGTTTTATTGTAATGGTTGCACGTTGGATAAAACACTTTATAGTAAATCTCGACCATTAACGTATCAAAATATAATAATGGTAATTTCTGGGTTGTCTTTATTTACAATACCTTGTAACTTGTAGTAAACTTGAATGCAAAGATCAAAGCAATTTCTGGATGCATTTCTTGACTGACAAATAATTGTCCATTATTCCATGTTTGCACATCTACATAAAAAACAACTACACGTGCTTTACCTAGATTCTCCACGCCATATTTGTGCTATGCTGTTTGCGGAGGTGTATATAGTTGGCTTGTGTCTGAACATTAATCATATGAAGAGGTTATTTAACAATTCTTGTACGTCATGACCAGAAGATTAAAACACCAATGTTTTAATCTTCTGTTCATAGGCCATCCTCAAGTAAACCAGAAGATTAAAACATTGGTGTTTTAATCTTCTGGTTTACCTGAGGATGGCCTATTGAGTGGGCAAAAACGTTAGTTTGGTTTTAATAAATTATCTCGGCAATTTAAGGTGTATTTTGATGGTCTAATAATTATTTGCCGAGTGCATTCTGTTAATTGTTTACTGTATTTGTTAGTTCCTTTAGTAGAATATTGTGCTTGTATTATAATGATTCATACTTAAAATATTTTTGGTATAATCTGATGTTTAAATCAGGGCTATGGGTTGGTACTATGAGACTGTGGATTTTAGAGGGGAATTTTTAATGAAAGGAAACCTTCCTTTTTTTTCGTTGTTCGAAATTGTCGTAAACACACCCCTTAGAAAAACTCCTCACAGAGTATCGGAGCAGAGGTCTCCTCCAACTATCAACAGTTAGGTGGGAAAGTTGACAATTAGTTGTCAAGAATTACAAGTCATTGTCAACAACGGACTGCTTTCCCACACTAATGCTATAAAAGCACGAGCTACAAGTCAATCTCCATGCAAAGGACTTGGATCCCATCGGAGAAGACATTCAATAGCTGCAGACTCTTCCATACCGTCAGCATCCGCCATACTTTGGTGTATACCGTCCATTCTCGCATAGAGGTATTGTATGTTAGCACTCTGTGAACTCTCTCTCTCTCCCTAGAAACAGGATTAGACGTAACTAACAGCTGCCCTTTGTATATTTGATTCAATGCATTTAACTGCATTGAATCGAGTAGTCTTGTAAGTCTTGTATGTTAACCTTAGCTAACCAATAAATGTTTTATTTGTCGACCTGTCAATCTCTTTTTCCGGAAAGACTCCTGTCCATGTATCAATGCACTCCCCACTCACTTTTTGCCCTCCTAAGCCATCCAACAGATGCAGAGATCGGGCTTTACCAGCCCATGCAGATTAAGTGGTCAGAAGAGATTAACCCCTGCTTATCTCACAGTACACATAATTGGTACTCAGTATGCATTAATAATGGTAAATGATACCATACTGTACAACAATGATTTACAGTGTAGTGATGAAATGTCCTAAATATAAAAATAAAAAGCCTTTGACTCCAGTCTCAATATAAACCAGGGGGTCCTTGCCCTTTTTTGTTCCATGGACCCCTTCTCAGGAAAATGTTTTTAAATCAAAACATAAAAGTGTAAAGGAATCCAGTTTTATTGAAATATAGCAACCAAAATAAAAAATACAATGATTCTTTTTTCACACAAAATTTAAAGTTAAATTATATTATTATTATTTACTTTCCTGTAATTTAAATATATATCAGTGTGAAGATTGTTGTTGTTTATCTTTAATCAAAACATCAAACTGAGATGTGGTATTTGACAAGGCAATATGCATGTCATGTTGGACGTGCATATTGCCAATTGATTTCAACTTTTTGTTTTAATTGTTACAAGTGTTGAAAATCCCAAGTTGCAAATGGAAGCAAAGCTTCCCTAGTTTGTTTTACAAGATGAGGATAGACTTTTTGTAGGGAACAATAGAATTCTCCAAGGCTTTTTGAGTTGTAGCAAGTTTTTTGTCTAACAAGTAAGATCAATAAGTTAACCATTGGTTAAGTCAGTATCTACAGTACAGTTTATATCAGAAAAAAAAAGGATTATGGTGCATGTTTCAATTTTCATGCCAATTTTAGAGAAATGCAACAATTATAATATGATATCTGTTGTTAAAATATTGATAGCTGTTGTTTTTATTTGTAAGCACATATATAACTAATACTACCCTCATTTATTGCATACATTCATAAGTGAAGGAAATGTTAGATTTCAGTAAGAGGTTAGGGGAAAAAAAAGGTAATTTTTTCAGTTTAAGCTCATAGACCCCTAAAATTTTACCATGAACCCAATATAAACATAAACAGTGTCTAGGTTTCTGACTCCATCATAGCCTTGGTTTAAAGTTCAAAACTGCATTAATACAGTATTTTGATTTATTATTTCATTTTTATAAATTTCTGCAAATAAAATGCTTCATTTAAAATAAATATTTTTACCTTTGCTAGGTACTCTTCAATAATATAATACCAGATCATTCACCTGATGTGTTCCAGTCTCCAGTACAAGATGATGTAACTATTGGAGATGTCATTGTCACCAGAATGCTCAGTGGTTTTAAACGATGGGATGCCCAATACTTTCTCCACATTGCGAGATATGGTTATACATATGAAAACACTCTGGCTTTCTTTCCATTTTATCCCTCACTAATTTACTACTTTGCAACTCTTCTTGATAGTTGCTTTAGTTATATTTTAAGTTTCCATTCACTTCTTTTAATTAGTGGAGTTCTGATTAATTTGATGTGCTTTGTCTTATCAGCCATTGCCTTACATGGACTTAGTAATTTAGTTTTGAAGGACAGGAGAGCAGCAGACATAACCGTTCTTTTATTTTGTATTAATCCCGCATCAATTTTTTTCTCTGCATGCTATTCTGAATGCCTTTTTTCCTTTCTGACATTTATGGGAATGTGGCACTTGGAGAAGAATAACAACATAATTGCATCAATTTTATTTGGTTTTAGTAGCATAACTAGATCTAATGGTACTATCTCTAGTTGTTTTGTTTTACATGCAGAGATCAAGAGTTTACATAGCAAGTTACAAATTCTTCATGATTTGCCATTTGAAAAAATAAGATATACTATTCAATGGATCATCACACTTTTCATTAAGTTGTTGATATGCACAATTCCTTTTGTTATATTTCAGTTTTATACTTGTTTATTGTATTGTTTACCCCAGTCTATGAATTTGTCATGGCCAGAAAGTATCAGCGAATATGGTGCACAGAGAAATTACACATTACCCGGAGAAAATCCAGGCAAATGGTGTAATCATAACATTCCATTTTCATATTCATACATTCAAAGTGAATACTGGAATGTTGGTTTCTTAAATTATTACAGATTTAAACAAATACCAAATTTTGTATTGTGTTTCCCAATTGTTTTCATCATGATTTCGGCAGCTGTAAGTTATTACCAAAAAAATAAGAACTTTTGTCTCTCTCTTGGATTTGTTACATATAAAAAGAAAAGTAGAGAGTTCTTTGACAATGAAGATTGTTTTGTATATTTAGTTCATTCTTTTGCATTAACATTAATGTGCTTCCTGTGCATACATGTTCAGGTAAGTTTAATTTATTTTTTCTTAAAGTATACGTATATGATTTTCTTATTTTTTTATTAAACACAGTATACATAAACTTAAATTATTAAATAGCTTTTATATTATTTGAATAAAAATTGTGAAATTGCAGATGAAGACAATGCAACTGTTCATGCTTCAAATTAGTTATACTAACTTTTTCATTAGTTTATTGCAAATTTATCTAATTAAATAGAAAATTTCCAATATGTACAAATTAAACTACTTTTTCTGTTTTAAACAAAGTTTAATGTTAATGAGGTCATGGCAATATATTTTGAATATATGTAACAAAAAGCACTGTACTTAGTTAGCCAACTGATTGAGAATATTTATGAAGTAAATAATGTTCAAATTTGATGTTTATATCCAAAAAACACTCACAAAACAATATCTACAACCTGACAACAGACTCATGCTACTCGAAAGACAACTGATGATAATATTTTTGTCCTTTTCATCATTTTGCAGCAATTATAGTTTTTTCATTTCTTGATGTAGAGCAGCAATTGAATTTAACTTCAAAGTAATAGAGTTAAAACAAATCTCAACATGTTTGAAATATTCTTTATGCATTGAATTAATTGATATATTTTCCTATTTGTATATTTGAATGGTGATAATTTAGTAAAGAAATCTTTGCATTGAGAATTATCAAAAACTAGCTTTACCAAACCAGTAATAAATGGATTTTATTAAACTACTTTTAGAAAACTACTATATTTATTAAACTACAGTAATACCTTGACTTACGCTACCTGGAGTTGTGATTTTCAAATCTTGTTGATTTGTCTTTTGTTTGAGCGCCAAGCAACTCTTGATTACTCACTCCCCCCACACTATTGTTCAGCTTACATGTTCAGACATGTCGCTTGGAATTGACGCACAGCTATACTTTATTTTGTGTTATTTATTTCTGTGTTTGTTATATCTACGGAGACTTGAGAGACTCTACTATGTCATCCAAACGAAGTAGAACTGATTCTTCTGCATCAAACAAGAAAAGAAAAACTTTGTCTTTGGAATGTAAAGCTAACGTTATTAAAGACTTCGATACAAAAATGAAAATTTGTGAATTGGCAAAGAAGTTTGATCTACCAGAATCGACAGTCAGAACAATTATAAAAGGTAAAGAAAAAATTTCGAAGCTGTGAAAAACGCTGTCTTTTAATTCAAGCATCATTCATAAGTGTCATGGTATTATCGCTGAGATGGAAACAATGTTAAAATTATGGTGTGATAATCAAGTAAATGTGAAAAATTGTCCTGTTGATCAGAACATGGTGTGCTCTCAAGCTAAGCTGATTTTTGAGAGATTGAAAGAAGATGCTGGAGAGGTGGCTAAAGATGAAGAGTTTAAAGCTAGTAACAGTTGGTTCAGCCAACTCAAAAGTCATTGTAATTGGCATAACATTGCAGAAAGTGGAGAGGTGACAAGTGCTGATAAAGAGACTGTGCCTTACTATCCAGAAATTCAAAGCTATGATAGATGAAGATGGCTATACCAGCCAACCATATTCAATGTAGACAAGACTGGCCTGTTCTGGAAGATGCCTGAAAGAACTTTTAGTATTTTTGCCACTAAATACAACCAGCTTGCTTCAACTGATGGATCAGGGAGTCATCAAAACATTCAAAGCTTTTTACAGAAGACAATCATTTGCACATCTGCATGAAGCTATGAGACAAAACAATGAGCTCTCTGTTAAAGACTTTTGGAAACAATTCAATGTTTTAGATGCAGTGAGAATCATTGGACAATCTTGGAACGAAGTTTCACAAAAAACTTTAAATGGCATCTGGAAAAAACTGTCCTTTTTTTCACCATTGAAACTCAGGTGGAATCAGTGCCAGAGCCTGATGAAATTGGTAATGTGATTGAAGTTGTCGATCTTGCCAGGCAAATAAATTTAGACGTGGATAGTGATGATGTTCAAGAACTGCTAGATTCCCACAATCAGGAGCTGACAATTGATGAGCTCATAGAAATGCATGAGCATGAGCAAGACATCGAAGAACTTAATTCTTTAGACCCAGTTCAATCAGATCAAATGACTGTTGGAAACTTAACAGAAGGCATCAGTTCAATTGAAAAGGGTTAAAATTTTAGATAATATGGACTCCAACAAAGAGTGCATTTCTTCTATAATACAAAACAAGAAATAAAAAAATTATTAGCATGCTATGAGGAAATTTTGCAGGAGAAAAAAATCTTTGAGTTGTCAGAATTTGTAAGATTTTATGAAGCCTTCAACATCAAAATAACTTTGGTTTACAATTTTAATAATATAATTTGTTATACATATGTATTATCTAAGATTTTATTAAACATTTTTTTCTAACTTATTGTTTTCTTTAGTCTCCGGCCCCAATTAAAAATATTTCGTATGTATTTATATGTGAAATTATACCTCAACTTACGTGGTTATCGCTTGGTCCTATTGCATAAGTTTGGGGTATTACTGTACTTACTACTTTATTTAAACTACTTTTATTAAACTACAATTCTGCTACTAAAAAGTAGCAGTAATGAAAAATTACAGGATGTATAACTGCAAGCAATTGGATATTTTTTGAAAAATAGCATGATTGGGCATTTATCACAATATGTAACAAGAAAAAGTTTGTCCTTTACTACAGCTTTCCAGTAACAACTTCTTTCACTTCTGCTTTACTTTCATATGCCAGGTCAAAAACAATTAATTAATGAATTTTGAACACCCACTGTGATTTTCATCATATTTTCTTGTCCATTTGCAAACCCTCACCACCATTCTACAAGGTATGAAGGAACAATATTGTCTTTGACAAGTCACTGTTCCACACATCTTGATGAGCTGATGGATTTCAGGATTCACTACACCTACTGAAAGGGCTCTCTCCTGAAATTATAATTATTCAAATAATTTTAAACACCTTTCATTAACATATGCACGAAGGTTGTGTTGCAGATGTTCTGATAAGAAGAAAAATGTTTTTGTCAAATACGGCTTAACTGTTCAACAATGGAGAGGGTTTACGCCCCTATAGTTTTCTCCTTGGATCTGTCACTGAGCAGGTGAAACCTTTTTGGCCCACAAAAATCATGCTTCTATTTGAGCTTATTCACAAGACTACTTTTCTATTGACATCATTTAGAAATGCTACTCCACAACTGCTCTGCTGTCAAAATTTGCCGAGTTTAAGTATTGATACTATTAATTGACAGTTAAAGAATGGCCAAGTTTTGTTAGAGGATTGGTGGACATATAAAAGATTGTGTTGTTTGCATGCAGGGATGAATTAGGCCATTGACATGCGATGACTTGTTCTAACCTTTGATTACTCAAGACATTTAAATAGGAATGGGACAAATAGAACACAACATATGGAAGAGTTGCTAACCTATTAGAAGTATATCTTTACTTTGCTGATATCTATTTTACCAAAAGATGGAGAGACAAATGTAACTCATGAAAAAAGATGGCCAAAGACAGTCTGTTTCAATTATCCATTACCTTCAAACAAAGAAAAAGACATAATTTGGCAATACTGAACAAATGCTCTCAATCTGTTCAGTATTGCCAAATAGGATGTTACACTTAAGAGCACTTTGGTTTACAAACCAATGGGTCTCAAACTTTTCTTCTTAATTTTTTATATCCTTGTAATCAATATAAGATGATAATATTTGCTGCACAATTTACACATTTGTTTAATGTGCTAATTTTAAGAAAGAACCATGACAATTTTTAAATTTATATTTATTTAAAAAGAATGTCTTCTAAAATACAATTTTTCACAAAAAAACTAATTCCTAAGAAGGGAGACAAATTACAAAACTGATAATCATCTTAACAGTAATAATTTTGTCTATAATAAACTTAATACATTAAAAAAAAAACATAAGATTGCATGTACAGGTAACCCCCGTATAACACGGTAGTTACGTTCCAAAAAATTGCCGTGTTATGCGAAAAGGAGGGTTAGGTTCCAAAAATTAAAAAACATGCTATTATATTTTCATAATTAAGATAAATATCTTCATTAAAATTTTTTAAGTGATACATATTAACCCTGCGTTAGTGCACTGAGTTTTTTTCCGGCATTAGTGCAGTGGGGCGTTTGTCCACCCCGACATTTTTTTGGGTCCATAAACCATGTAAGTAAAAATTCATAAAGATTTACTCATTTATTTGGTAAAGTCATGTGTCATTATACATATGATTATATTCAGGTATGATTACATATTATATTAGTACATAAATCCACGAAAATAAAAAACAACATTTATCAAAACTCATTACATTAGATCTTATTATTAAACCAATAGTAAAAATCTAAATTGTTTTTTAAGCATTTTTGTCACTCTGATTCAATAGCT